TCTCTCTTAAAAAAAAAATTAAAAATTCTGAAAAAAAAAATAAAACACTCCTTTTGATTTCTTCTTTGATTTTGGGATTATCCCATAATACTATATAGTTTCAAGAGAAAATCTGCAAATAGTATAAAGCTAATCATAGTACTATATAGTATAGGAAAAATCCACACTTTTTTTCTGGCATAAGCATAAACAGGTAATCTCAACTTGTGACATACTCGTATCCTCTGAATAACATGTTGACTGTTTTAAACCAGTCAGTACAAAAAAACTCTCAACATTTTAAATGAATAAATTTTTCTTTACTTAATTCCTTAAAGCTAACACAAAGGCTAGGATTAGCTCAGTGGTAGACCTTTTGCTAGCATATGAGAGGCCCTGGGTTCAATTTTCCCCAGAACCACAATAAATAAATAAGTAATTAATCAAGGAAATAAATGAAGTTTCCAAGAAGCCTGCAAGAATCTAATATTGATGAAATGACATTACACTAATAGTATCCCTAAATTTCAGGGTCATCCTTGGCTATAGTATTTTCTAAACAGATGTTCTTCAGTCCTAAGTGGGAAAGAAGTTTGGAAAGAGCTACATTCTATAATGGCCATCACTCTAGAAATCTGCACATATGTTAGCATATTAAAGGCTCTGCTTACTTTAGATTAACTAAACTGCCTAAATGTATTTGATTACTTCATTTTTTTTCATCAATTAACACTTAATAAGTCGCTTAGGGAAATACAAGCCAAGGTAACAGACATTCCTTGAAGAAAAAGACAGTGTAATCAAATTCTTCACCTCTCTGTGGATTACTCACAGCTGGGCTGCTTTACTCTTTGTTGAATGACTTGGTACGAGAGGTACATTATAATAACACCAAATACAGGACTATCCAATGCAGCTGTTCCTGGTGTGGTCATACATAAGTTCTTTTAGTAGGAGTAGTTAATTATTTTGCACCAAAATTAACTCTTTCTTTTGTGTTTTACAACTGCAAATAAAAATTTCTAAGACTGTACAAACTCAAATATCAAAAATTAACTTCCCAAGGAGACCAACAAAACCCAGTAAAAACCTAACTACTTTTGCAATACCAGTGAATGTATATACACAAATATGGGTGTGAATGTACACACACTAACATCTGCATCTTCACCACTATTAGCACCATCAGGCTCACCTCTACTGTGCAAAATACCAGAGTCTAATGACTTAGTATATCACCAGATCAGAGTTTGTTCAGAAAGGAGAAACTTGCCAAATTGTTCTATTGTTCCTATTAAAATAATACAGTGGAACTGCACACTTTTGGTTTCTAACCATTTAGTTTTATGATTGAGCCATACAACATCATGGTCACAAAATAGTGACCTAGATAGAGCCAAGAAGCTTTAGAATTGTGAAAATAAAAACCAATCTACATTTATTTAGCTAGAGAACTTCTAGTTTCAAAAACTCTAAGACATGAAATTTTTCTTTATAGTTGTGATAGGTACTATTAACTGCATGCCTTCAATAGCCTTTAGCTCTTCCTTTTTGCTAACAAAACTCTGATTTGGGGTGAGGCAGGGGTGGGACAACAATGCACATACAACCTGAGAAGATAAATCAAAACTGATCTATGTCAGTCATGAGATTTCCTTGCTCTCCTTTGCTGGGCAAAAAAACTTCCCAGGCTTCTTTGTAGCTATAGTTATCTATATATGTGACCTGTGTGGTCAGTGGGACATAAGAAAAAATACGTTGGAAGCGTTCTGTGAAAGATTGTTCTTTCAAAACAGAGTTACAGAAGCAGTACAGAAGGACATAAGATCCTGAAACCCTGATATCACTGAGTCAACTGAACAAATGATAAGACCTATCTGCCTCCAGACTTTTCATTAAGTCTCAGTAAATGAATAATAAATACCCCATGGTTTATAGTTTATCTTAGTTGGGTATACTGTCACTGTAATAACTGTTTCCTAACTGATWCAACACTCTGTTTTCATAATGTGATTACAAATATAAATTATAAATTGATATTTTAGAATTTAAAATTTAGAAAAGCAACAGGGGAAGTAGGATATTTGACTTCTTGCTGTATAGATATAATGGTGTATTTAAATAGCTTTTGTAAGCATGTAAAAGAATGTAACATTTTGTAACACTGACAAAACAAAGAAACAATCTTAAAGAAACAAATAATAGGAAAAATCGATCCATACCCGTACCTTTCCGTGTGTTCTCCGTCACATCTACCCCAAACTGGATAATGTCACCAGAGAGAATTTCACATGGTGGACTTTCTTCAGAGCCTCGACTCAATCTCTGGCTATTTATAAAGGTACCATTACTACTTTTAGTGTCTTGGAGATAAAACTGGGGGGAAAAAAAGCCAAAGATTAATAATTCCAAATCTACTTTAAAAAATAAGCACTTCTAACTTTGCAAACTTTTCAGATGGATTCCCCTCATCAATTCAAACTTATTTCAGCTAATGTTCAACATATGAAATTAAAACCCTAAAAATAGTTCAAATAAAATCCAACTACACAAAATGGTGCAACCACAAATGAAGCATATGATCCAACTACTAAACTCCTAGGCATTTATTCAACAGAATTGAGAACATCTTCACAAAAATTTGTACACAAATATTCATAGGAGCATTATTCATAAGAGGCAAAAAGTAGGAAAAAGCCAATGCTCATCAACTGAAGAATGGTTAAATATAAATCCACACAATGGATTATTATTTGTCATTTCAAAGGAATAAAGTACTGATACATACTGTGACATGGATGAACCTTGAAAACATTAGGGAAATAAAAGAAGCCAATCACAGATGATCATATATATTAGTCCAAATGTATGGAACATTCAGAATATGCATATTCATAAAGACAAAAAGTACACTAGTGGTTACAAAAAACAATGGTTGTCAGGGAGACTAGGTACTTAGGGGTAAAAGCATTTTGGCAGAGTGAAGAAAATTATCTAAAAGTAGCAGTGAAGGCTACAAAATGAAAACCCAATGAACTGTACACTTTTTWAAAAAAACAAKACCTTTTTTTTWAAATTTATTTTTATGTGATGCTGAGGATTGAACTCAGGGCCTCGCATGTGCTAGACAAGTGATCTACCGCTGAGCTCCAATCCCAGCCCCATGAACTGTATACTTTTAAAGGTGAATTTTATAGCATCTGAATGTATCTTAATAAATTTGTTGGGCTGGGGTTCTAGATCAGTGGTACAGTGCTTGCCTCGCGTGTGTGAGGCACAGGGTCCAATTCTCAGCATCATATATAAATAAATTAATTAAAAAGGTCATCTAGACAAAATTTTTTCTTTCCACTGCACCCWGACTTTACAATCTTTTTCCTAAGTAACTGGATCCAACCAGAGGGAGCAGTATTTATTGCACAAGCAAGGGCAAATGGTTTTTGGTAAYACCTATAATTAACAGCTATCAGTTATCTAACATAACTTACACCTATAATTAATAGCTATCAATTATCTAACATAACTTGCTATCAAGACTGATACATCCTCAAAAATTCTTTGTGATCAAGCAGATTTGAGATACTAAAATATTGGAATCATCAATGAAAGTACTATTTTCTGGCCTCCCAAATTTGCCTTTCGTTGCTTGGATAATCTTCCCTTTTTAAAAAGGGAAGGAGTAAGCCATGTACAGTGGTGAAAACCTGTGATTCCAATTACTCAAGAGGCTGAGGCAGGAGGATCTCAAGTTTAAGGCCAGCCTGAGCAACTTAGTGAGACTATGTTTCAAAATAAATAAATAAATAAATAAATAAAAAGAGCTGAGGATATAGTTCAGGGGTAAAGTGCCCTGTGTTTAATCCCCAGTAAAGATGGGAGGAATAGGAGGCAGCACAGGAAGTCTATCACTTCTATCATAAAAGTAATTAACAACAACTAGGAACACACAACTTATTAGGATGAGAACAACCAATAAAGAATAGATGTACCACCTTTCTTTTTGTATTTTTTGACATTCTACAGTCCTACTTATTCTAACAACATTATTTTCACTGAAGTTCCTTCCCAAGAAAGGATGGAAAGAAGACACCTAATATATATTAAAATATACTTCATGCCATTAAGCCCTTATTTAGCCTTAAATATATGTATGTGCATGTACATACATGTATACATACATGTATACATATTTCTCTCTATATAAATGTATAGGTATGTGCACTTTCATTTATAAACAAGAAAAGTGAAAGTTATAGGCATGCTAAATATCTTTCCAAAGGTTACAAAGCTAGGGAACACTTGAATAAGGATTCAATAATAGAAATAAAAGGGCCAGTTTCTCYCATTACTTCATGCTGAACTTCATTATTTCATTTATCCTTCACTCTTACCACAGTACTCTTCCAAAATGAAACACAACAAAGACTAAGCAATTTGACAGCAAATGTGAAAATGACATTTCATTTTATTAATTCTTGTGTGACAATTTAAAGGCTATCAGGCTGTCTATAAATGACTTATTCTGTTTATAATTCAACTAGACCAACTGTTACTTTGGCTAGACTTTATAGATTTAATTACAGACTATTAATAAAGAAAATTGTGTTCATATTTTACAGAGCCATTTGAAATTTACAGGCCTTAACATTTAACACCAGGGAGATAAGCACAGGCAATACTTTCAGGTAGGAACAATTATCCTCACTTATTTATTTATTTACTTTTTCCCCTGCACTGGCATTTACTGTATATGGGAGTTATTTCTTGTTTTTGTTTTTTAATAAATATATTCTTAGTAAATGTGGCAATAACTAGATTCTGGTTTAGTTGTTTTCAGTAATGTGTGCCTGGACAATTCAAATAAGGGGATTAAACCAGATTTATAGTGGTTTCAAACTTCAAGTAGTAATCCATTAGTAGGTTAAGTCAATTTAGTAGATTGCAACTAGCTTAAAAAAAATGAAAGGGGTGGGCTGGGATTGTGGCTCAGCGGTAGAGTGCTCACCTAGCACGTGCAAGGCCCTGGATTTGATCCTCAGCACCACATATAAATAAATTTTAAAAAAATAAATAAATAAATAAATAAATAAATTGTGTCCAACTTAAAAAAATAAATATTTTTTTAAAAATAAAAGGGAACAGAATAGAAATAAAGTACATGAACTATATAGTTCAGTACTGCTTCGAAAAACCTATTGAAAAACAAATAAATACATGCACATTTGTCATTCCTATGTAACTCCAAAATAGCAACACCTTTTCAAATTTAAAAAAATATAAATCAATTCTAACCCAGGTTCTTTTCATTTTTACATCTATATTACTGTTCAAAGCACATCGTAGTACATGAGCCTCTTATTTAAGCTTGAACATATCATTTCCATTATTTGCTCAATCTTCCTGTCTTCTCAACCTGATGGCTTCCATAAATCTGGACTACTGTAGCCTTTAGGGTCCTACATGATCTGGCTTCTGATTCCTTCTCTGAACTCAGTCACTCCATTTCTTTTTCTCTCTTATCCCTCTCAATCACATCAATCCACTTATGTACTTGACTCTCTGCATTTGTGTATCGCTACATGCATTAAGTTTAGTTCCCTGTAGAAATATATGCCCTTGGTTGTTCTGACTGATATTAAAAATAATAATTTTGTACTATCTATAAAATAATCTGTTAATATTAAATTATATTGTATAGAAGTTATTGTATTTATTATTAAAGATGTCAACTTGTTTACAAGGGATTGGAAAAGGACTTATTTAATAATCCTGGATACATTTCCAGGAAATAGGTATGTTATTTGGTCCTTTGTCACTTTCAAATCAGAAGTGTTCTCTTTGCCAAGAAACCTCTATCAGGCTCCTCCCTCCCCTTAAAAGAAACCAGTTTTGACCATACTAAAGAAAAAAAAAATTAAATCTGTTGAAGTCTTAACTATCTTTCTTTCCCAGCAGCCTAGGAATGCCCTAATAGTTCTAAGTGTTTGCAATAGCCACCATTCACTTTGATGTTGAGCAGGTGTGTAAGGAACCCTAAACTTTTTATAAAATCCTTTGTGGCTTGCAGCCAAAGTTCAACAACAGTGCTTTCCATTGTTTTCAGTATTTAATTCTTCAATTAACTCCTTGCTTTCCCCTGAGGGAACTTYAACTTCCCCAACATCCTCTGAATTTCCTCTGTCACATAGTCATTTTTCCTCAGTCATTTGCTGATTACTTTCAATGACAGACATGGCATTACTCAGATTGCATTTTTTTTTTTTTTTTTAGTTCTGGTTGGACACAATACCTTTATTTTATCTATTTATTTTTATTTGGTGCTGAGGATCGAACCCAGTGCCTCGCACATGCTAGGTGAGTGCTGTACCKCTCAGCCACAACCCCAGTCCCAGATTGCATAATTTGCTTTCTGGCTTTCAGAAAGTTTTTGCTGTAGCTATCAAACACACTTGCATTTTGCATTACTTTTAACTTTGCTACAATTTATAAATACTTTTTGTTTCTGTTATAACAATATACTGCTTCTTTCTAACGCTTTTCTATGTTGATAAATTTGGCAATATCCAAACACTAACAGGTAAGCTAATGCTTCACGACAAAGCACAAACAGTAGAAATRCCATAGGTCACCATGAACTCTAAGTCCACATGGCGGAGTACAAAATATGAACACAAAATGGATTCTGTGTAGAAGGCAGATTACAACAGATTTTTAATTTACCTTAATCACCATCTAACATCAAACAATCTAAGATCAAACCAATATCCCATTTACAAAAAGAGTAGGTGAAGCAGTATCCACACAAACTCCAAATTTCAAGTGAACGGGGAAAACTACCAAGAAGCACAGAGCCACACAGTTTCAGTATCTGTGCAGGAGGACACACATAGAGGCAAGGGGGGCATATGAGAAAATTGAGAAGAGCATCAAAATAGGCACTAGGTATTCACTGGATGGTATGGGGGCCAGTTTGAGAGGAGAAGCTGTAAGCCAAAAGGTCTAGCTCAATCCAACAACAAATTAGTGCAAGCCCCATAAAAGGCTGGAATAGTTTGAGTCAGATAACTCCCTTGGGTGCCTGGGACTGAACCCAAGGCCTTATACATGGTGAGCCAGGTTCTACCACTCAGCTACATGCCCAGTCCCTATGTAAACTCTTAAAACCAACCTGAAGGAACTCAAAGCTGGCTCCCAAGATAGGGCTTTACAATGAGGAAAAGCTTCCAGAATTCAGCAGGACAGGAACAAAAAAAAAAAAAAAAAAGAAAGAAAAGGTCCAGATAAAAGTGAAGAAGGAAAAGGAGGCCACCATATTTTTGAACATTTTACAAAAACAACAGAAGAGGGAGCTCTGTGAATTAGAAAAGTTATTGTGA